GATAAGTTCGATCGGCTCCCTGCATCGTTTTTGGATTTTTTTGTAAGAAGAAACTAATTAACATGTGCTATTAAATCAAAGATGGCGGTGGCCTCACTTGCAGAATTAATTTTATTCAAATTTATTTACGAGGGTTCGTTAAATACATCTTACTTTTTTCCTTTTGGCTATTCACAGTATTCAACTATTTTTTTTTTATTTAACCCCCCTTTCCCCTTTTTAACTCTCGAGCCAACCTTTCTGATGATTTTAAGGTATACGAGATTTTATCTTATTCGTTTTGTCGAATAGTGGCCACATATCGTAAAATTATTCCGGCCGTAAATGTCCCTAGTTTTCAATGGGCCGTTAAGCACAAGCAAGCAAACAAACAAACAAACAAACACACAAACAAACCAGCTCCAATATGCAAATATTATCACGCATTTGATTGCTTTCATGATGATTTGTAAAGCTAAACAAGATGAAGTTAAAGATATATCGTTTATAATTGTTCTGTTTAGAAAGCAGAGGACAACAGACGCCATTCGTAACACTTAATTATTGCGTGTTTGGAAAGATAATCAATTCAACGAGCACGTAACAGAATCATTCGGTACATCTTCGGGAGAAATGGTCAGACCTTCGAGTGTTTTTTTTATTGATATAACAAGCCTTTAGGGACACGCAAATCCACACAGATTATAAATGAAATGTCCGCTTTCGTATCAAGCGCGTGTGAGACACGTGCAACGCAGATGCAGCCACGCATGCCGGTCATAATTTCAAAATCATTATCGGGGGAGGTAACCAGAACCGCAAATATATTATCGGAGGAGGTAACCAGAACCGCTGATGAATTGAATAGGGAGGTTACCGGATTCGCAAAAAACATGATCCCCTGATAGAAACCAGAACGTCAAAGATATATCAAGGAGGTTAATAGAACGTCTATGACATTATCGGGGGATGTTAGCAAAACCACAAAAATAGTATCATCGAGGGAGTCAACCAGAACCGCAAAGGATCAGAGGATGTAACCTCAAAGACATGATTTAGGGAAGGTAATCGGAAATCTTCAGTCATTATCGAGAGAGGTAACCAGAATCGCAAAGACATTATCGAGGGAGGTAACAAGAATGGCAAATACATTATCAGGGGGAGGTCGTAAAAAAATGGTGCTTTTTTGGGAATGGGTTTGTGGCAGATTTCGTGAGGGTCAAGCTGTCGAGGGTTTATTTGTGAAAATTGTGATGAAGTTCACGATTTCGAAATTTCGCTTCAATTGATAGTCAGTGCTGAAACGTAACTAATTCACTGATTTGTATTGTGCTACTTTATCAGCTGCTGGTAAGGCAAAAAAAATTAAAAAAAATACGAAATACAATATGTATGTCCAGATTTATCCATTTTCTTGATTCGTTGTTCCTGGTACGTAATTCAGTGTCATTCTTTGTTTATGTTCCAAGATATTAAAGTCGATAGTCACAAAGTACATTAATTCCGCGAGTCTGCTATAATGGAAAAGCAGGCTACATTACTTTTAAACGATGAAGGAGATTGTGAGCGTCATATCGACCCGGTGTTTCAGTGATATATCTTGTAATCCTTACGTCTGATGTATAAGTTCCATCCCGTCCACGTTACACTGAGCGGGCCAATTACATACACGGCTACAACTTATATCCCGTTAATTGATAGTTCATGACGATGCATTAGATTCACTCGAACTTTCGTGACAAGCACGCGCTTTCATTTCCTACATAATGGATTCCAATATTGCTGTCTAATTTATTTAAGTGCTGGCACGTACGGACAATAATACGCACAATCAAGTCACACATGTCTTTTGTATCTGCATTTGTGAAAATATTAAAGATCTCACGATAACTTCGTTAAAAAGACGACTCCAACCTCTGTATGCGTATTTTATGAATCAGCCATGAAAAACATGCAGTGTCTCGTGATTTGGTTACGCCGCCATTTTTATATATGTCAATTTGACGCTTGGCAGTGCGCTTCAAATAACACTTTGAATACTTTTGAATCAATCACTCGAATGACTCAGACTGTTGGAGGATTGTCTTTCATTGTTGACGCACACACAGACACCAAACAGCAATAATGAGAAAACTATTTGCATTACATTTTAGAATAATAATGAAAGTTTTTTGGATTGGATTATTTTCATATGGGCATGTTAAGACATTACATCTCCAACACACACGCAGGTATATACACACAGGGAGATATTAGCTAGGTGGCATATGACAAGTCGTTGGCCTGATAAGGCAGCTCCTGCGAGTTCCTCAAAAAATGTATTGATTATTGTGTATGCTCATTGTATATCTATGTACTGTAAATCGCTTTAGAGTGGCTTATGTTAGTGCTATATCAAATGTTGTATAGCATTATTATTAAGGGTTATGACTGCATAATAGGTTTTATGCAAGCTGAGGTTCCAGAGAGATCTGGCTGTTTAAGGGTAGGGTGGCTGCCTTTCTGGGGTGGTTTTCAAAAATGTCTGGGGATTTCCATACAATAAAAAATATGATAACATACAGGTTTTATAACTTGGCAAGTTTAGTGAATTTACTGGAACCTTTAAAATCCTCTTAGATCCCCAACTACATTATGTATGCAACCGATTTGCGTTCATATCGGCATGACCAGGCCAATCTCTTCACGGTACTTACAATCTTATAATTGCACATTCCCAGTAACTATTTTAGTAAACGCTATCTTACGCTATCGATGTAAAAAGTGTGCACAATTTTATTACCGAATGTAACAAAATGGGCTGTAAGCGTGTTATGCAACACGAGAGAGATTCTTTGATGTACCAAAGCGTCAATACATGTTTGACCATTATGACCACATAGAGTACATAGAGGAGTAGGGACAGTGCAGTAAAGCATCGTTTTAAAGTGTATTATTTAAGACGTTGGCAGGTGTTCCCTTTCATTCACCACTCACTGAAATATATCTCCGGTGTATATTTCACAGAAGGTAAACAACATCCTGGCGATATCTTTGCCTGATTACATAACAACACGAAAGATGTGACATCTCCGATAAAACCCGAGATAACACGATGTAATTTCCTGTTAAGATCATCAATCATACGCTAGCACCGACTAAACTTAACTCATTCAACCCTGAAATTTCATAATGGACTATTCCAACCTTTGGATTGAAAGAGTTCAAAACTGTCTTAAGGGGTAATAAGGTAAGATCCCTGAATCGCTCCAAAAATATAGATATATGATTTGGAATCTTTCTTAGCTCATGGCAATACTTTTTGTTAATGATTTTATATATATTTTAAAAGAAACCCTTAACTTGGAACTTTTATGAAAAAATGATAAAAAAACACATATCAACACAAGTATTCTGAAAGACAAAACACAAGGAGACCAGGCCAGTATTCGAACCCTGACCTCCGATCACAAATACGTTCGCCCACTGATAAACGATAGCTCCCTGGCCGAGCCCGACTACAGAATATCAAAAATGAATTTAGGGGCATGGTTTTGTGTGTATATCAAATCAATTGGGAATTTCTCTAGCATTTCGCCTGCATTTGGACAGGGTTTTCTAATACCAAAGTGTTTAAACTAGTATAATGATAATTAACAAAAATTAGAAGTTCGTATATACCGCTTTATCACAACCAAGTTCGTAGGTCGTCGCAAAGCGGTTCACAAAATATTATCCGTTGTTATAGGGCATTTGGATTTCTCAACTCCCGGGGGAAGCATACAGCCGGTGCTACCATTTCGGCGCTCACAGCTGGCATTCAACTATTCTACAACTGCCCAACCACGTACTCATTTACAGCTGAGTAGACTGGAACAAGCGGAGTTAAGTATCTTGTTCAAAGATACAACAAAGTACTGTGACGTGACTCGAACCGCAACCCTTCGGTCACGAGTCAGGCGTCCTACCACAAGACTACCGTGCCTCCACGTATAAACCAGCAACGCCCCTGTAACGGGATCACCTGTATTAAGAGATCACCATTTTCGCATTCCCATAAACCAGTTAACTATACTCGGGTAAGCGATCATTTTGGGTATTTCCATTTGTGGTTCCTTATTATAACATTTACGGTAATTTTAATACATTTTTTTTCAACTGGATCAGTGTTGCGCAATACAATAGATTCGGGTCATTGATTTATAATGCATTGTCACGTGAAGTATATAAGCCTCGTACAATAGCAATCTGTTGCAAATCACGTGTGTGTATTTTATTATCCATTAAAAACAATATTCAATATATATATTATGTAACCATCGTCATATTTTATTGAGCTCATAATATGTCTTTGTCATTTGTTGATATGCAATACTGCATACACATAATTACAACATGTACTGTTAATCCTGCACGCATTTAGTATTTTCCAGATATGTATAGTTCTTGGTTATAATCTTGAACATATTTCTAGGACTAATATGACCCCTGTAAAAGCAAGCAGTCACTTAAATTTGTAAACGATTATTAAATTAAAATATCCTGATCACCGTCACCTTTTCCATCCTGGCCACATTTCGGAATTGACAACAGGCCGGAAAGCGATTATTCACACATCACTAAATTGATCACAAGCTACAAATCAATCTTATGGTCACATCGGATAATTGACAACGAAAACAAAATAAATCCTGGTCACAAATCGAACTGAAGGTATAAATCAATCCTTGTCCCATATATATTAGGAGGCACGGTAGTCCAGTAGTAGGACGCCGGGCTCGTGACCGAAGGGTTGTGGGTTCGCGCCACGGCACGACAATGTGGTGTGAGCAAGATACTTTACTCCGCTTGTTCCAGTCTACTCAGCTGTAAATGAGTACGTGGTTGGGCAGTGCTAGAATTGTTGAATGCTAGCTGTTAGCGCAGAAATGGCAGCTCCGGCTGTATGCTCCCCAGGGAGTTGAGAAAGGTATTGGCTGGTTGCAGAGGCCCTATAACCACGGATAATAATTTGTGAACCGCTTTGAGACGACCTACGAATTAGGTTGTGATAAAGCGGTATATAAGAACCTCGAATTATCATTTTATTATTATTATTATATCTAAATTGACCATCAGCTGCAAAAAGTGATGCAGGTCATATCATAAAACTGAGCATTGTGTGGAACTCACCAAATTACGCATAGGCTTGCAACTTGGTGACATACCTAATCGAACAAAGAATAGAAAGAAATTCTGGTCACATCATCAAATAGATTACCGGCTAAAAATCGGTCCTTGTCGCATTTCTAAATTGATCATCAGCTGCAGAATGAATCCTGGTCTTATCCTTGAACAGATCACTGGTTTGAAAATTCTGGACAATTTTACATCACATAATCGAACACTGACTAGAAATCCTGATCACGTGTCTTAATCGACCAATGAATGGAAATCAAACTGAATCATAAAATCGACCACAGGCTAGAAAAACATTCTGGTGACATTCTGAAATGTTGTTGTCACTATCCGAGATCTCGATGTGAGGACGACACGTTACTTGGATTCGACTTAGATTTACATGGCGGGTGTCGTCGTTGAAGCATAAGACGTTTACACTTCCGGAACACCTGGTCTTATCATCCTTGTACTTTTTTTCAAGGGTCTCAATGTAAATATTTCCATGTTCATATTTTGGCCTGGTGTTTTAGTTCGAATCATGGTCTTGTTGATACTCCGGTATTCTGTTGTTATTTTAACCACTTACTGCACCGAATCGTAACTGTTGAACAAACCACAAACAGTCTTCGCCACAGAATTTGCCTGAATGTTTGTATGTTCTCAAATCTTGAGAGTGATTACTTATACCCGTCTTTGCCTGGCACTTAAACGACTCCAAACGCTTAAATAAAATTCCCTCTTCAGTTAGCACGTGTACAGGAGATGAAGAAACGAATCAGTTTCAAGATTCACATGTAGGGCGTTTCTTTCGACACCTTCCTAAACATTCTGTCTAGGGGGCTGTCATTTTAGTAAGCTTTATATCAATTTGAGATATATGTGTGTATATATATATATATGTTTGTTCTTGATTATGGCGTAAATGTGTACCTCTTAATTTAATGATAGATACCTATTTTATCATGAATCAGATATACAACGGAAACAAAATTTGTATCGCTTTTAAACTTTTCCGAACGCAACATCAAAGCTTAGAGTCTTTCACATTGTCCAGCATCTGTTGCAGTAAGTCCGTCTCCGTCTGAGCCGACAAGGATGTGTCCTTGGTCATGAAGTGACCTTCGGTGACCTCTCGCTGCTGGTCGGAATCGAGGATGACCATGGCGATTTTCATGATCACCTGCGCGGTGTAACCCCACGTCTGGATGGTCTCTCCATCAATTATGTCAGAAAAAAAGTAGGCAAAGAAGAGTGAACCACGAAACGGGAATTTTTTCACGGTGTAGTCCTCATTAAGAAACCTCGATATCGGAAGACTAAACACCTTTCGGACCTCCTCGACATTTCTTATTGGCTCAAAGTCCTTCGGAATAATCGCCACAACAGGAGTTACTATATTTGCAGGTCGGACAATAGCAGGAGAAAGTACACACAGCACGCGCACGTGTTTCCGGTCAAGGCCGATCTCCTCTTCGGACTCTCTAAGAGCTGTCGCGACAACGTTTTCGTCTTCCGGGTCTTCTTTTCCACCGGGGAAAGCCACGAGTCCGGAATGAGACCGTAGATTCTCTGATCGGACGGTGAGTAGAACATTCCATTCACCATTTTTCCAGAAGAGTGGAACGAGAACGCTTGCTCTATTGAAGCCTGGCGGAATGTTGAGATCATTGGAAGGATGAAGTCGAGTATCGTACTGGCGTAGTATGTCCTCCAGCCGGGACTCGGCCTCTCCCTCCGTCCACATTCTGGTGAATAGATGAAAAGAAAGAGAGCATGTAAACAAGGTCACCATGAGTAACTGAGACGCTTGTACACACTATAAATACGGGGCCTTTGCAAACAGGGTAAATGTGGGTATACACGGACATTTGCACACTTGGTAAATATGGGTACATTTGCATACGGGTTAATACGGACACCTGCACACAAGGTAAAGATGGGTATATATATATATATGTATATGGGGCAAAGAAGTAATTCCAAGAGTGTGGACAAGTTTAGGTTGTCAAATTTTCGGAGCGATCCGCTCCTTTTTCAAGAAACAGTGAAACAGGACAGTTACATGTACATACACATCATATAACAAGAAGATAGAATTGATATACTATAATTGAAAATATAGCTATTATATAAAACCAATAGTCCCCTCGGCTAAAGACAGCCGAAGGCAGCAATTAAGCTGAGAGCATCGCGGACAAGGAACGCTGATGTAGAGGACCTATTCTTGCGCAAGATGCACTATAATAAAAGTGAGTCAACGAGAGATATCAAAAACGTGGAACATGTGCATGTGTAAATCTGGCCCGGTAAATGTGAAAAATCTCCATTTTGTTACGGAATGTCTCATTAGTCGCCTCTCAATACTGCGATAGATATATCAGTCACAGCAGAGGGTCCACACTTTATATATATAGGGACATTTACACACAGGCGAAATATGGGCATACACGGACATTTGCACACAGGATAAAGACGGACAGGATATGCATTGACAGTTGTTACCAGGTTTGATAAGGGTATATACGGTGGAATGGATAGGCGGACACATATCTTAGGTAAACGGTGCATAGACGGACACTTATGAAAAAGTTAAATAAGAAGTCACGACACTGTATTTATACAAGGCAAGCAATAAATTGAAGAGAGAAACTTGTTTGAAAGATAATGTTTTCATGTATTAGTGTATGAAGTACCGGGGATGTAGGCGAGGTTTATTTTGTAGAATGATAAATATCCGCCGACTTGAAGTGCACAGATGTGCTGAAGTCGGCTGCTTTAGAACCATCATATATCATTCCTAAGTTTGCCGCGTCTGGCTGTGTAGAATTAGTTTTTATCGAATCTTCGTACATATGGTTTCGTCTGTGGATAATCTATTAGTTTTAAACATACGGCACGGCACTGTTATTGCATTTCTCGGATTTCTCCTTATATCCATCACAAGTCGGAATGTTATTTACATTTCTAAGATTCCCAACAGATATAAAACACGGGTTTACATATTGTATAAGTCTACCCTTCGGCAAAACTTGGTAATCAATATTGGCATTGTATCAATGAAACAAGGGTAGGGCGTACAAATGCATGTTGGGTGTATACCCCATTCAGGATCCCTGTACCACTGCACTGCCGTTTTTCCTATACACAGTTATCTCCCCTTAACTTCCGTTTGGATATACAGTAACTGAAGCACAATTGGGCTCATCCACTTCCGTAATCCAGGTAGCTCAATCGGTTTCAGAGATGGTATAACAAACTGAAGTCCAAGGTACAAATCCAGATTTGGCTCCGCAGAATACCTTACGGGTTTTTCATCTCATTCGTGTGTTTACAAAGGTCCCGCAAGGTGTATAGTTTTCTTTTAAAAAATGATTTATAAAAGCTATAGTAATGCTGGAAAAAAAAGAGAGTTGCGAAGGAGTTATTCATTTTCTGGCAGTTGTATTTGGGATCCTTAAATATACCATGTTAACGTTATTGTTATCGCTAATAGCATATTAACATTTTAATTCGAAGGTATAACTATATGTAAATATTTATGATAAAGCTACGTATGGGAAATTCTACTTGGCTGTTTCGTTCTTTCATTGAAAACAAACTTTGTTCCTTGATATAAAGAATAATTTTCTATTTTGGTAGACTACGATGACGTGATAATTCCTAGTTGAGCACGTGTAAAGTGAATAGAATAAATATTAATGCCCAAGCCATGAAAACTTGTCGCGATCCATGGTAAGGTTATAATGATAATTCCAGTTAACACGAACATTTATTTATTGATTTTCATTGTAAACCGAAAATATTGTGAAATATTGTGCTTTGATTGATCCAACACGTGAGACTGTCGCGCCAAAAACATTATGTATAGCCGAGCTAGACTAATTTGTCTATTTCAAATGCAAATGCTCCGCATGCATAGCCATTCTTAATAGTATCGCGTTGTAAGACATACACAATTCATGCATATGTTGTGCAAGCTCCCTTTTGCAGTATCCCATATGGGGAGGCTGATAGTTTAAGCGAGACACGATGCGTGCTTACAGAACGTAGTTTGCCGGGTATATGGCCGTGCCACTGTTCGTCTGGCGGACTTGGCATTGACGAGCAGACGACACCTGGCTCTCAACAGTCCATCATTAAACTCAATCGGGAACCCGTTTACGGAAAGTGCCCACGGTTCTCGAATTCATTAAACTCAGAACAGCAGCTTTTCATTTTATGATCTTAATACAATATAGATTATCCAAAAACAGCTAAAGACGAAAATACTCTAGTTGATGGCGGGGATTAAAATAGTTTTATCCTTATTATAGCTTGGCACTGCTAAGCAACTGATTTCATTATAACAAATCGATTTTCGACAATACCACGTAGGCTAATCCGTTATTTCATGGGTGGTTTTTTAATTTTCTTCTCGACGCAAAACGATATTTCTTCTTCATCAGATGCATAGGAATTGTCAGTTGGCGAAAAATATTGCTAGTGTGGGTGGGTAAGTAGGTAGGGGGTGGGGGTGGTGATTATTTAGCAGTCTGGGTTAGTATGCGTTGGCACTTGGAGGCTGTCGGATATGGAATCCGGGGCTACGTAATGGAATTATTGGATTATAGAGTTTAGAACGATCGACCGGTCCAAGTAACAATTCTATTGTATAACATGTACTGAACTGTTAAATTCTAACCATATGTTTTCTAGGTATGCACTCAAACTAAATAAATCTACGTGCGAAGCTTCTCTCCTTCCGGCTCCGAATCGTCTGCTCGAAGAATAACCAACATGATGACGTGATTCGGTAGGTTCATTTAAATAACAGCTCCATAAATACGAGTATACGCCTTAAAATAGACATATACATTGTTACAACGTCAAAATAAATCATATTTCCAAAGTTAATTGACAATTTAAAAAGACATTAACATTACGGGAATGTTACTCGATGCGGGTATTATTGCGGCCGTTGATTAATGTGCCCGGCCAATATAGATGTTAGACATTGCCCCGGTCACAGTCTATAACGAGAATAGCATTGTATCGGTATTACAGTTAGTTGAAAAGTCGCCAATCCAAATACCACTGGGTCATCATCGATTGTCCATCAACACCGCTCGTCGTCAAGTTCACGTGCGGTTATATCGTCATTTCCGGTGCCTTGGTGACAGCAGAAGGTCGATTTCCCGCCAACCATGACGCTTCCGATTCCATCTCTCAAGCAACAAGATTTGGTCTCTTAGCCAGAACGGATCTCTTTCAAGGAATTGATGGATGGTCGGCAGCGAGCGCCGGACGCTATCTTCTAATCGTTACCGCAGCAGGCTTGTGCAGAAAAGGCAAGGAGAGGCGACCTGTCTCGATGACACAGCTATGAGCATGAGGTCTTTGATGGCATAAACACGAGTCTGATAATCTGTCTTACCGTTTTTACAGGATAGTTTTTATAAAACTGTGAAATCTTTTCCAATGTATAAGAAAAAGCATTATTTACAGAAAAAGAAAGATGCTGCCCCCTTCCGAAACTAAAAGGGGTAAAACACACCAGGTTTTTACGACTGTTCGACTTCCGCTCTTATGTTTAGTTTACTCTACCCCCCCCCCCCCCCCCCCCCCCCCNTTTTATACCAAACACCTAAATGGTAACTATATCAAAAAGACTGTTAGCCGTAGTTATGATATAAACAACAATGAGGAAAGGACAATAACTGTTAAGGCTAAATGAGGAAACACACCTTTTGTAGATTACCTCGAAATTCAAAAATTGAAATAAAATGTCTACAACAAGGTGTCTGCACTACATGACCATCGTATAGCTATGCACTGAACGCCCCGGCCAGCATTTCTGTACACTGTCGTCTCGAGTGGTGTCTTTTCATAACGTTAATGTACATATTTAACAAATCATGACCGAATTTATAACATTCACAACTTAGTTCAAGTTCTAGCTTGAAAAAGGTGTCGAGTTCAGTGTTTTTGTACACTCAATTTTGTAACAAAAACCGGACTAATTTCAATTTTGCAAATTAACGTCCTATCGATTGCATTTATGAAGTTACTGTATGTTTTTATGTAGTTGCTGTATGTATTTATGTACTTGCTGTAAGTATTTGTATGTATTTATGTACTTGTTGTATGTATTTATGTACTTGCTGTATGTATTTATGTACTTGCTGTATGTATGTATGTACTTGCTGTATGTATTTGTATGTATTTATGTACTTGCTGTATGTTTTTATGTACTTGCTGTATGTATGCATGTACTTGCTGTATGTATGCATGTACTTGCTGTATGTATTTATGTACTTGTATGTATTTATGTACTTGCTGTATGTATTAATGTACTTGCTGTATGTATTTGTATTGCTGTATGTATTTATGTACTTGCTGTGTGTATTTATGTACTTGCTGTATGTATTTATGTACTTGCGGTGTGTATTTATGTACTTGCTGTATGTATTTATGAACTTGCGGTGTGTATTTATGTACTTGCTGTATGTATGTACTTGCTGTATGTATTTGTATGTATTTATGTACTTGCTGTATGTAATTATGTACTTTCTGTATGTATTTATGTACTTGCTGTATGTGTTTATGTACTTGCTGTATGTATTTATGTACTTTCTGTATGTATTTATGTTCTTGCTGTGTGTATTTATGTACTTGCTGTATTGATTTATGTACTTGCTGTATGTATTTGTATTGCTGTATGTATTTATGTACTTGCTGTATGTATGCATGTACTTGCTGTATGTAT